ATCAAAACCTGTGTGATATGTTTTGGGGCCAGTCCTTATTCGTTCACACACCAGAAATGAGCAAAATCTGTTGAACCTGAACTGACTTATGGCCATTTCTATTTTTGCCAAAAAGTGGACGTCGCTCGAAAGTAGATCGACTAGCGTGCTCCAAAATAGAACGTTCAAACCTCTCCCATAGGAGTAAGAACTATATGCAATTTGAAACATGTAGGTCAAACGGTTCCTGAGTAATCGTTGACCGTAGCCAAATGTTGACGGACGGACGGACGAATGGACGTACGACGGACAACACCCCATGGCAATAGCTCATCTTGACGATGTCAAGGTGAGCTAATGACTCCCCCTGCCCCACCCCTCGACGTTTTCATCTTCCTGCGGCCAGGGTCGCGGGACGGTGGCGCCCCCTCACACGATGGTTCCGTCCTATCAGCTAAAGCTAGTGAGCACAAATCAACCCTCGCGATCACTGTCACGCCACAACCACAATCTCGGTCAGCGCTACCACGACAAAATCAACCCCCACCCACCACCACCCCTCGACGTTATTTTGTCGGCGACCAGGGCTCGGGACGGTGGCGCCCCGTTGGGATGGTTCCGTCCAATCAGCTAAGGCTAGTGAACACAAACCAATCCCCAAACAAATCTAGGTCAACACTACCACGCCAAAATCAACCCACCCCCCAGTCCCATCCTCCGCCCGACATTATCGTCTTGCGACCCAAGTCGCAGGACGGTGGCGCCCCCTTACATGATTACATAATGATTCCGTCCTATCACAGAGATGCCAACACGTATTTGAAGCAATCTGTAGTTTCTGGCCATCAAATTAGTAGTTCGAGAGTCACGTAGTGACCCCAGTTTGCTAGGGGGGTCCGGCATGCCCCCTGGAAAAAAATTTTATTCTGAGATGCAATTTCCTGTATTCTGAGGGTCAAAAATGACAATAATTGACAAAAAAAAAAATTTTTTTATCACAGTGAAATTCGTAGTTTGATACAAACTGGTCGTAGTGGTGCAAAAGAAATAGAAATTCATATAAAATACGGATAAATCGTAGTGGTTGGCATCTCTGCTATCAGATCCAGTCAATCTCGGTCAGCACAACCACAACAAATACACTCCCGCACCGACTGACGTTACGCGGACGTTTATCGTTATTCGTACTATCGACGTCTCGCGACCGCGAGACGGTGGCGCCCCCTTACATGATGGTTCCGTCCTCGGCGGCGCTCCAGAACATGAACGGCACGTTGGCGGCGGTCGCGATGCGCTTCACTCGGCCGCCATGACAGCTGAACGTGTGCGTCGTCTCGCGGTTCGCGAGGTCGTGAACTTTGACCTTGGTGTCGGCGGCGCCGCTTATGATCGTGCCGTCGTTCGAGTTTGGCAGGAACTGAGGATCGAGAGATCGAGAGAGAGCGGGTGAGCGGATTAGCGCGCGCAGTGAACGAACAAAGGTGTGAGGGAGAGAGCGCGTGAGCGCGTGTGGTGAATAAACGAAGGTGAGAGAGAGAGAGAGAGAGAGGAGAGAGAAATAGTGAGGGAGAGAGAGACAGAAATAAAGAAAGAAGGAGAGAGAGAGAGAGAGAGTAGAGAGAAGAGAAGCAAGAGAGAGAGGGAGAGAGAGAGTCGAGAGAGAGAGAGAGAAAGAAGAAAGGGGAGTAGAGAGAGAGAGAGAGTAGAGAGAGAGAGAGAGATGAAGAGAGAAAGAGAGGAGAGAGAGAGAGAGAAGAGAGGAGAGAGATAGAGAGATAGACGAGAGAGAGGGAATAGACAGTGGGAGACGCAAGCGAGAATAGAGGCGAGTGTGCGTGGTAAGAGGGAGGGAAGCAGAAAAAACAGAGAGTGACAGAGATAGACAGCTAAATAATGTCATCGAAGAAGAAAGAATAGAGCAAGACTCGGACAAAACAGAGAATAACGAAGAGAACACCGAGAGAGACTAGTGCACATCCGCAACCGGCGCAAAACTAACAGGGCGCCGGTACCTAGTTGTTTGTCAATCGTTTGTTAATTGTAACGATCATCGTTAGACCCAAGGATCCGATTGATCCGTTAGCAATCGTTACTTCGGGTGTGAATGCCTAGCGGTGCGTAACGTCGGTGCATGTAACGTGTGTGCATGTAATGTGCTTGTTTAGCCAGCCTGTTTAACGTTTGGTTTGGCAATGTTTACTATGTTGTATAATACATACTGATTCCATCACTTTTCCAAGTTTCCTGTTCAAATCTTAAAAAAAAAAAATAAAAAAGTAATGAAATCAGTAATGGATTTGATAACCAAGCGCTGTTCGAGCACGATCAATCGAGATCGAGTATAATCGAGATGCGTACCTCACTAGCTGTACTTCACGGAAAGATGTTGCCCTCGGCCCGGTCCGATAAAGAGGCGGCGGTAGCGGAACGGTCCCAACGCCGATGCGGCACTGTCGTCGCTGTCGCTAGCGAGAAGGTGGCCGCTGTCGTTCCACTCCAGACAGTAACACAGCCACTGCCCGCTGTAGAGTAAAGAGAGAAGAGAGAGAGAGGAGGAGAGAGAGAAGAGAAAAGAAGAGGGACGAGAGAGAGAGAGAGAGAGAGAGAGAAGAGAGAGAGAGATGAGAGGAGAGAGAGAGAAGAGAGAGAGAGAGAGAGAGAGAGAGAGAGAGAGGGGGAGAGAAAGAGAGGGGAGAGAGAGCGAGAGATAGAGAGAGAAGAGCGAGAGAGAGAGAGAGAAAGGAGAGAGAGAGAAGAGAGGGGGATAGAGAGAGAGAGAAGAGAAGAGAGAAAGAGAAAGAAGGAGAGAGAGAGAAAGAGAGGGGAGAGATAGAGAGAGAGATAGAAAGAGAAAGAGAGTGAAATAAAGAGAAAGGGAGAGAGAGAGAGAGAGAGAGCGAGAGATAGAGAAAGAAAGAGAGAGAGAGGGGGGAGATAGATAGAGAGCGAGAGCAAAAGTGAAACAGAGAGAAAGAGATAGCGAGAGAGAGAGAGAGAGAGCGAGAGCAAGAGTGAAACAGAGAAAGAAAGAGCGAGAGAAAGACAGAGCGAGAGAGAAATTAATAAACAATTATTGTAATGTCATTTAATGAGTACATCGGATTTCCTGATAAAGTTAAGGGTAATTTTATTTTACGATAAATCCAGTTTTTATATATTATTCATCAGTTACATATTATACATATATACCCATAAAAGTACATTGAGCAATTATCCACTGATTATCTTCTCAGATTTTGATTATGACCTCTTGCTATTTCGTAATTTGGCTTGAATAAAAGCCATACGCAGATGCTCAACAAATGGTCCTGACACGCAACTTGAACAATGAACTTGAACAATGCTACATAATTGGTATACATTCTTAAGTTCTTCTAAAAAAATCTACACAAATCTAAAAAATAATACACAAATCTATATATACCTCCAGTTCCTTTTCTAGGCCAAGTCTTCCGATGAGGCCACTTGTGACATGCAGCGTCCTCTGGTAGGTAGTCGCATACTGCTCCTGCGGGGATAACAATAGAACAGTAAATGAGCAGGCAGTAATCTCCGCCAGGCTAGATGCAGTGGCACCTGGCAGATGCAGCTGTTCAATCTTGACCTTTGCTACTCTACTGGTGCTGAGAGGGTCTATGTCCCCCAGGGTACTATCGGAGGGTACGCTAGGTAAGGTTCGATATATCGGAACGTACCCTGGTACTATCTAATATGCCGGACCGTACCTCGCCTACTCCACTATAAAGTCTAGGGAGTCGCCTACGCCTACTCCCTAACCCTAACCCTAACCATATCAGATAGTTACCAGGGTACGTTCCGATATATCGAACCGTATCCAGGGTACCCTCTGATAGTACCCTGGGGGACATAGACCCTATGAGTATGAGCTCTACTGGTAGTTGTCTCCTTGTTAACCTTGCATCATTACTACAATCAAACAGGACCCAATAATCCTAACTTCGAGTAGAGTAGGGGGAAGCGCATCTGTCAATCAGACGGTATATTATTTATCGATTAGCAGATGTGTGTCCCCAGACCACTGTAGTATGCACCCCTAATTTCAAACCCTATAATATTAAACCCTACAGATCCACTTTAGGCACCTTAGGTATCAGGAAGTGATGCACAGATTTCTGTGTATCATCAACTGATGCACAGACTTTCCGTATATCAAGGAATGATGCAAAAACCCTAACCCTAACACACTTCGTGATACCTAAGGTTATACTTTTTGACTTAGGGATAGGGTTAGGGTTTTTGCATCGAAAAGTCTGTGCATCAGTTGATGATACACAGAAATCTGTGCATCACTTCGTAATACCTAAGGCTAAGGTGCCTAAAGTGGATTTCGATCATGTAAAACATACGTTTATCTCTCGCTTTTGTCTGATCTTTATCACGTGATTGTGGTCCATTTCGGCGAAGGTTTGGTTCGATATTATTCTTGCAAATTCGGTGCGATCTACGTCATCTTCTTCTAGCAGACTAGGGTAGTCAGAGGGAAGTCGTACATCATCACTGCACAGAAACAGGTATGAGGTAACGCAGAAGACCGCCACGATACGGGGGGTGGCATAATTGGGGCAAGGGCTGGTTCAGCCGGAAGGTCAATCAACGCCTAACACAAATCTTGCGCGAATAGCGGTGCTCGCCGCCATCGGCGACTGATAACGTTAATACAACCAGAGTTAAAAAAAAGTTAAGTAGAGCAAAATTATCTTCTGGGGTGTTAGTGGGGTGGTCGCGGTTGCATCGGTGGTGGGGAGTCAGATGGTCACTGTTTTCCAACTTACTGTACTTTACACTATGACTTTACCCGACGTAGTTTTTAGTAATAACTTTGACAAATCTTTACCGCAGCCTGATAAAAATAAATTGTTAGCTTTTAATCCATCATTCCGCCTCATAAATGCGTCATGCGTCGTAAAATTTAATCCGAAGGTGCTGTTTTCATTGCGATAGAGAGCTTTCGCGTCCTTTACTTCCAACAGATGGCGCTGGGATCCGGGTGAGTCATATCTGCGGAGATGATCGGGAAAACCGCACAGTTTGTTAATTAATGGTATTATTTCATTTATTCTCCGTTTCGTAGTCAATCGATCTCTTCAAAGGCGTGGTTAGCAACGTTAACGTAGTTACGGCGATTTGCAATCCTTAACATGCGTAACGCATTTGTACTGATCTTAATTTGATGCGGTTTATGGCTGCTATGCATGTTTTTCGCCACGGCTGGGAAATAGGCGTCTGTCGCCGCTAGTGGTGGCTTCACATGCACGCAGGGACGCTGCGCCGTGAGTGTGTGCGCGCACAGATGCAACCCAACGACACGTCAGCACAAGCAAACCATCTCCTGTGCATTACTTAAGGGTATATTATCACGCCGTAGCTGTGTGGAGGCTGTATACGGAATTATCCACTATATATATACGTATATAATTATTATTTAGGCTATAATAACATCAGGAGTAGATAATAGAAGATTCTTCTATTAGAAGGAGTAGATAATAGATAGATCGATAGATAGATCGATAGATAGTAGAAGATCATCTATTATCTACTCCTGATAGTGATAACATGATAAACACCTAGTTAATTGGAAAATTTCTGCTACAATCCGCACTGTTAATCTATCGATTTCATCAAATGTGACTTTCCGTCTCTGCACGTCTCCTCACTCGGAAACACAGCTGTCTGGTTTCTAGTTGCACCTGCAGGGTCGTAGCCTGCAGTGGGGCAAGGGGGCAGAGCTCTGCCCCCTTGATTTTGGAGCAAAATTAAACGAATAAATTGTTCTACTAAAAGAGAATTGTCGTAGTCAGAATGGAGGCTGTACATGTACTCAAAAGTGCCTCGAATACCATCTCCTGCGATCTACATTTTTAAAATTTTCTGTGCTAGGGCCTCCAGACCCCACCTGTTTCTCACCCCCTGCTTGAAATCCTGCATCCGCCACTGCCCCCCCCCCCTAGGAATTTGCTCAGCCTCCGGCCCTGACATCTGTCTAGTTTCTAGTTAAACTCTTGCTTCATGTTGTCTTAATCCCTTTACTAGTACAGAATATGCTGAAGTTTTTTTTTGTGTATATATTTTTTCTTCATGTTGTATAGCATTGTAATTGTACTGTATCCGTCAGAAATTTTATCATTTTAACTATACTCAACACTATTGCTTTTATCAGATTTTTTCTCCATGAAAAAAACTGTCGTCAGTGCATGTATTTGTATCTGAATTCATGCAATAAAGATTTAATAATAATAATAGTTGCATCTCTACTGTAGTCATTAATTCCCTTCTAAGCGATTGATGCTACTCTGCATGTCTATGTGTATGGTATAGAAGTTGTGTTCTCTCACCATTAGAAGAAGAAGAAAGAATAGAAAATGCAGCTTAATGTCAGACAAGGCAATATGTCAGTCACGAATCTATGGATTTATTGTATTTGATTTTAATCTAGTCTATTCTACAGTAAAACTCGCATAAGTCGACACTTTTGAGACCAGCATATTTGTGCCGACTTACGAAAATGACGACATACGCGTAAGTCGTCATTTTGTCGACTTATATGTAGGGGTCCCCCCCCCCCCAGGCGCCCGTCATCCCTACGCAGTCATAAACATGCTCCACACGCGACGTCAGTTCGCGCCACATACATAGCAGACATGAAACAATCGGGTCCGTACATCAATCGACACCGCTGCTGGCCATAACGCACGTACAGCGTACGCACTAGCGGCAAGCGCGGCACTGGCTGGCTATCTGTAACACCCGCTGTCGATTACACGTTTGGACATTGCAGGACATTTGCGGGGCACGTTCTTCGGTACTAAACTGTATTGTTTTCCATTCTATTCTATAGATACTGTGATACTGGTATCGATCATCCACGCGTCTGACGTTTCGTCGCAGATAACACCGCGACGACAATGGCGGACGACATCGGCGAGGACTTCCCCGGCAAACTTCTCCACCAGGCGGCGCTGTGGGACAACGCCGAGCTGCTCGGCGACTTGCTCAATGGCGACCAGGTAGGGCGGCGCCCTTTGGCGGTCAGAGCGGCACTTAGGGCAGAGGGGCGGACGGGAGTACTGGCTGACGGTGGAGCGGGACTAGTATGTCTGCATCTCTCGTGATTTTCAGGTTGATTTGTTCAGTCGGGTAAAATCGTCAATGCGCATACACGTCGCAAAACAAATGTGTTATATATATATATACGCGGCTAGATAACAGCCGAATGCGAACGAATACACAGCCGATAAGCATGATTGAATTATTTCATCGGATCTCTATAGTACACATGCTAATAAAGTTTATCTCAGTTAGATGTAATTAAGTTAAAAATAACTTACACCGACGGAAATTTCATCAGTGTAAGTTATTTTTATCATAATTTGGATCTAACTGAGATAAACTTTATTAGCAGACGAGAAGCACGATTTACCCTTTTTTTATTAAGACGAGCAGATTTATTACCTCCGCCAGGAGCGTGGCGGAGGTTATGTTTTCACCGGCGTGTGTTTGAGTGTTGGTTTGTGTGCTTGTGA